CTGTTTCGTTGAAGATTTCACGTGACAAAACCACCATAAATCACAGCAATTAATTCAAAAGCAATTCGTCTTCTTTTCCCAGTGCATATTGAATGATAATTTTATGCGCTAGTAGGTTAATTTTAATATTTAAAATCGCGCCTTTGTTTTTTCGTCTTTCCTTAACCAACTTATTATATGGCATAATTTAATTCAAGGTGGGTTTCAGATAAACTCTGAGTATTAATTAATTAATTAAGACTTTTATGTTTAATAAGTCTGGGTCTGTTAAATGTGTTAATAAGGTATACTGACAGATTCATAACTCGGTCACACCTGTTCGGCAGAGAATGACCTATCAAATTCATCAAATATAGAAAGGAGAGGTAGCACAATCAACACGTTATCTTTCAAACCTTTTCTAATGCAACTTTCACGCTCTGAGTTTGATGTGGAAAAGGGTGACTTTCATGGTCTGAAATGAAATACGTGGAGATAACGAACGGTATTCGAGCCCAAAAGTTCATTTAACATTACAAAATAGGAGCAGAGCAAACACGGACCTCTCAGACATCAGAGGTGGGATCAGGTGCCATAGAGCAGTGAGAATCCCCTGTCGACCGGTCACACCCGCCATGTGCTCCTTGTCATGATCGGGAAATAATGGAAAAATCTGTCGACAATTCAGTGTGTAAATAATGGCCTAACAATTAATATGAAAAAAGTCAGTCAGCATTTGACCTAATGATAGATTGTATTGGCTGACAATGTCATTGTATCGACCATAGAACTTACGAAATGATGACTTTTAAAGAGACTGTTGATATTCTTGTTTCATCACCTTGTTTGTCAATAACTTACCTCGTTTTAGAAATTGTTCATACGTAGAGCATGCTCTGGCGTATCGAATCAACTGAGAGATATAAACCCTGTATGCAGGTAATCAGGGTATATTAATTGCTGCATAAGTATTGGAAGTTGACGATTGAAAATTTAAAGTCATCACGTTTAATATAAAGCTTTTTTGTTAGATTACCATTAACTTCTTTTTCAAATAAAATATCCAAATATGAAACAGATGTGTCAGACTCTGTGGTATCTTTTATCTCAAGCTTTCCGGGATATATCGTGTCGACATTAGAATGGAAATAACCATTGTTAACTGACAATACGTCGTCGATATTATATAAATATTACATGTAGTTGAGTGTAACATTGAAATTTTCACCCCTAAAAAACTATTTTCAACCGAGGCGCAGGTTTTCGAGGGCCGGGTGAAAATTTTTAATGTTACCCTCAACTACATGCAATATTTATTATATTATACTGAATGTTTTCTACAAATACATATAACAGTGAGTCTTGTTCGCATAAATTCTGCGCAGGCAATACTTTTTGGAATATCACCCGTTGTCAAGCAATGTTGACCAATGCTATGCTGAAGGGCGTGGCTTCATCATTCAGCGGGTAATAGTGTTTTTTAACAAATTTTTCTCGATCACATAGATATTGTCAATCAGAAACTCGAGCATCTTTTTAATGTCAACTTCAGAGTACTTGTGTGTACAATCAGATTGTTTTATAACAAAGTAATTTTGCAAATGACCAATGACTAGGTAAGTAAATTTACGAATTCCATTTTTATTGAAAAAGCATCTGTCAACGATGTCAGAAAGTCTGGACTTTAATTTATCATGAGGAATAGTTGTATATAAAGTTGAAAAGTCATAAGTTTTTATGTTGTTGACTTTGGTAAAATTTTGTGATTTCAAATGTTCCAAAAGTTCCTTGGAATTTTTTAGTATCCACATCTGATTTACACCACTTCTCGAATATATTGTTACACAGTACTCTTGAAGTTCTCCTTCACTACTGTTAATATCTTACGGAGGAGTAAAGAAAGAGGCTTGGTAGAACATTTACTTGAAACCGCTATGTATCTTTGTTTGTCAGGATTTTTATGAAGTTTCGGAATCCAATATAGTTATGGTAATTCAAATTCATTTTGGTTGTTGGGAATATTAAAAATATTCAAAACTGACATATGATTTTGAAGAATTTCCTCTTTAGAAAGGGAGCTACGGGTATAAGTTGGATTACCACTTGTAAAATTAAATCCTAGTTATACAATTTATATAATGAGCCTAACAAACAAAGCCGATGTTGTTATCTGCTTTGTCAGCAGGGACCAGTACGTACTGATCGTGTAATCTGCTTGATTCTTTCTTCACTTCTAAATTATTGAATACAGAAGGATAAATGGTTTTCATACCGTCCTTCAGTCGTTTAATGTGAGATTTTAACATATATCTAATACATTTAATCCATTCTGACAAAGTGTCAAGGTCTTCTTTTTCATGTCTGACCCAACGCCTGGTGTAATCCTCTACAGAATCCATAATATGTATAACATTACGAGGCCAGTTAAAGGCCGAGGTTTTCAACCGGTCGGTTTTCCTCAGGTAAATTCAGTGTGGGGTGGAGCTTAATTGAAACGGCTGAGAAGCCCCGAGGGAACCAAGCTGGCTTGTGTATACCTACCTATATACATGGGATGTTAGTCATGTTACCTGTATATTACCTGTAAATGTTTTCCTAAGGCATTGTTTAACTTCGCGTGTTGGTCAATTGAAATGCTGATCGTCAAATTTATGAAATAAAACATGCTAATTTTTTTTTATGTAGACTGATTCCTTTAGTTCAATTCTTTTTTAAAAATATGTCTGAATAAAGGAGACAATTTTAGTTTAATTTTGTGCGTTAATAAATTTCAAATCTTTGGTTGTAAGCTGGCGACAACGAGGGAAATAGTCATTCGCAAAACGAAAGTAGAAAAAAGGGCGGTCCTGAATAAGTATCTAAAACCAGGGACCTATATACTAAGTATATAGGTCCCTGCTAAAACTTAGAAATCCTGTTTGAAGTCTAAATTTTGTAGAAAATATATAATAAATGAGATAAATATTTTTGATATAATTCCTATGTGATTAACCCATGACGCATGTTCCTTAAAAATGGTCATGGCATCCGCGTATTGCTTCTCCGACAGGTAGATGAAACGGGAATATAATCACTTTATCCTACTTTTTTCCTTGGGATCCACAATTCTAAACATACTGCTTATTTCTCTTTAAAACTGGTTATTATACCGTAACTTTCATCATCATGTCTCCAAGAAATATTACACGTCTTAAAATTTTTATCTTGGACAATATGACTATCTCATAATTATAAAAAAGGAATTATTATTTTATTAAATTACACGATGCTTCCAATGCAGTTCAGTATTTTCTGTTTTAAATAAAATCGATGTACGTGTAAATTTGGATAATCTATACCGCATTATAGATTGTATAGTGAAATGAACCCCCCCTTTCTTAAATACAATTTAAATAGATACATGACTGATTTTCTTTTTCATTTACAATGTACTTAATTATTTGACAGACTGATTAATTACAAATTATATATGGCTAATTACTTTATCATAAAGTAAAAAAAAAAATAATATCAACTCTGGCTGCTTCTTTATCACGATGTATGCGGTAGGCATCAAAGACTGAATGTTAATTCAATGATCGGTACGATCCCCAGCCAAGGTATACAAGATATACACAACGGCAGGTAACAAAATGTCAATCAATTTTCAGTATCCAATCTCGGGCTTTCATCTGATTGACAGGGGTTCACAGACCAGGTAAAATTGAGGGTGGTGCTTATTTCCTCCCCCTTTAAAGGATCGGGTTCCCTATATTTAGGACCTTTTAAAATTAGTGATCTAAGGTCCTCATTATTAACTTTATCCTGCACCTACCCCTTGTATTGACCTAATAAAGGTAACCTAATAAACCAAAGCTTTATTCGGTCAATGCCCTAATAAAGCCTCGTGCACGTATTCCAACGTTCTAAAAGCATTGTGACGTCATGAATATTGCAATGTTTACGCCATGGCGTCTTAGTTTCAACTGCAGAGATGTACCTAAATCGGTTGAAAACAGCTGTTTTTGGAGGTCCTGTAAAAATTTGTTGCAGGATAAACAAAATACATGGAGACTGTCTTGAAATATAAGCGATATTTGGGCTCGGGTCGAAAACGTGATAGAGGGCTCGGCAAGCCTCGCCCTCTATCACGTTTTCTTACCCTCGCCCAAATATCGCTTATATTTCAAGACAGTAACCATGTATTTTATATATATTTACGTCACCAGTAATAACGTGTCCAGCAGGACTATAGTTATAGGTTAAAGAAGAACATGAACATGAAGGAGGATTATTCCATATTATCCATATAAATATGAATAATCATGACACTGTTGTTCTTGAGAAGATTTTTAAATTTTTTCCTTAATATTCATATGTAAATTTTAATCTATTGTGGCCCAACATAGCCCTTAGAAGCATTATTTGAACAAAATTGAATCTACCCTACCTGAGGGTGCTTTAATATAGATATGACTTATCAAGTTTGATCTCCTTTTTGTGACTTTGGCTTACTCGCAAGGGGCATGTTTGAACAAATGAAATATGGACAGAACGAACAGTATTCAAGCACATAGTCCATTTAAACAATACAACTCAGGAGAAGAGCAATTAAACACGGACCACCAAAAACATCAGAGGCGGGATCAGGTGCCATGGAGGAGTAACCATCCCCTGGTCACACCTCATTTGACCTAATGATGTATTGTATTTGTCGATATGGTCATTGTTTCGACCAGAGAACTTACAAAATGATGAATTCAAACAAGAGACTGTTGATATCCTTGTTTCATCAACTTGTTGGTTAATAGCTTGCCTCGTTTTTAAAGTTGATTGTACATAGAACATGCAAAACCTTAGAAGAGGTTCAAGAAAGACCCTCTGGTAACAAGCAACCTTTGTTCCTAATATGATCTCTTTTTATCTCTAAAATTCAACGCTAAATTAACAATTCTTAACCCTGTGACCTTGACCATGTCCAAATGTGCAGGGTTCAAGGTCATTACATATCCCTGATAACAAATAACTTTTATAACTAAGCATGAGCCTTTAAAAGTTTATTTCAAAGCAATGACCAGACATCTGATCTATTGATCTTTGCTACTTTAGTTACAAGGTTAAATGAACTTGTTGGCATAAGCAACTATTGTACTAAAAAATAGGTAATATTTCATAAATTAGATTTATTAATCTGAAAATGCTTAGTGCCTTATTTATATAGACTAGTTTAACATAAAATAAAATTCTGAAGAGTTCATAAAAATTACATATACATGCATTAATCAATGATTTTCTAGAAAAATAATGTACAATTTGATTAAAAAAAATGTTAACAGGGTGACGGACAAACATTTATACAGAAATATGGGCAAATAAACAGGTTGCTTTCAATTTACCCCAAAGTTAACTTATAGGGGGTATAACAGAATTATAAATAGCATTAAATATGTATATGAATAAAGAAATAGGTACTGTGTATATTCTACTGTGTATATTCTAAAACAGAGGTGAGTTCTTCACAACTATGTCAGACTAGTAAGCGCCTTAAAAACAATTTTAACACATACTCAGTAATCTATGTGTATATTCTAAAGAAAACTAAATCAAAACATTCTTCACACATTAAAAATATAATAAACAAAAAAAAGAAAAACCCATTTCATCACAAATAAAATAACATTACAAATATAAGCCCCGAGTAAAGTTATGCATAATAAAGATGAATTCCTTCTTATCTACTTTGCTCTCATAAAGTTTTCAATCTGAAATACAATATAAATTTCCTACTCTTAATCCGCCAATATAAAAGTAAATCATCATATTACAACTTTGTGATTAGCAGTAGGTTTATATTATGTCATCTTCTACAAAAAATTGTAAATATTAATCAAAATGAAATCCAATCTGAGATGAAGACGTTGTTTTTGTTTAAATTTGACATATTGTTACATCTTTCATTGTTCACACTAAAAATCTCCTACCAATAAAAACTGTAAAGATTTGTGACCTGTCATTTAAAGTACCATTATATAAAGTCATACACAATTTACCTTACAATGTACTCTACCTGTTGATTATTTTTCATAAAACTCATACTGCAATAAGATGTTCTTAGAAAAAAATCAGTACACATTATCATGATATTGAATAAATATCAAATGATGAAAATCCTTGTGTTATTTAAAGAAAATTATACAAAAAAGTAGGGATGTCAACGAATATTCATTCGATGAGTTGATATTCGAATATGAATTTAAGATTCGAATATTCGGTGTTGTTCAGATCTCATAAAAAGAAGTACTGTGATTAATAAATTTTTATTAGAACAGTGCTGGGATTCTCCCTGTTTAATTTACTAGCAATCAATTTCCATCTATACTCTCTAATCTTATAGACCTACTAAAATGTTTTGAGTAAGGTGTTAAAAATTTATACAATAAATAAATGCTTTATGTATAATACAAAACGTACATTCATAGTTTTTATTAGTTAAATACGATCGGATCTAGAATCGAGGACAACAAAATTAAAACCTTCTTTAAATGTCTTAAAGATGTGAAAAGTATACCTACTTATCAAAACAACTTTAAATGATCATTGAATGAATGTCCGATAGAATCAGTCTAATTCATATTGTAAAGGGCTCAGTTTCAGAATAAATGTGTAAATTACTTGATTATCTAGGGTTGTACGTTATCCTGAATTTTATATTCATTATCGGGAAATTACTGAATTACCTAGGACAATCGTCTATATAAAATATTTGTTTTTATTTCAAACATTGACAAATATCAAATGGAATTCCTTATTGTACAACTACAAAAGTCTTCATACATTTTTACTTCCAATATAAGATTACCTACGATTTACTATTCATGAGAGAAGGATATGCATATTTTAAATAAACCAGAATTTATTTATTCTATCGAATATTCAAATATATTCGAATACTTTCATCGAATATTCGAATATGAATTATGGACAAAATTGACATCCCTAAAAAAAAGTTAACAAAGATACAGTTTTTATAGCTGGTATTTCCTCAAACTGTGCTTCTGAAGTTATGAACAGCATTATTAAGCATTATAAAAGTCATACAAGAGGCCTTCAATTATTGGTATTTTCCAATTATACAAAGAATAAGAAAATACAGTTCAAAACTATGTTGTAGTATGTCCATAAGCAGACAAATGATATTTATCAGCAGAGTCATTTTGTTACTTTTTTTTTTTTTTTTAGAATTTTCAAGTTTGCTAACTGAAAAATGTAAAGATTTAACTCTGCTATTCCTGCTGTTAATCATTAAAAAAAAGTTCTTGGACCACACCAAAGTAAAAATAAATATTTAAATGTAAAATTCGAGAGCATTATTTATGATAACAAAGTAACACTAAAAGTCATTATTCCTGTGAACAACACACACAAAAAAAAATAAAAAAATAAAATACACATCTTCACATTACCCAGTTTGACTGATCCTCTCTCGTTAACAATAAATAAACAAACTCTGATACAGAATGAGCAGAACTTTCAAGTAGTCAAGTCACATGGAAAATTTTCTAACACAAATAAGGCATGTATAAAATTATCAAATTGCCTAATGAAAATAGTGAATTGACATGAATTACAAAAGAAATAATTGAGATCAAGGAGTTAAATGCCCCCTCCAGTGAACAAATAAATAATTTTTGAGAGGCTTAAATTACAGTTGAACTTCGGTATCTCAAACACGGATTTCTTGAATACCATGGATATATGTCAAAGCTATTTGGTAGTCCCAAGCATTTTTTCTTTAAGTATTTTACTCCTAATATATCGAACCTCGGATATCTTGAAGTTTTTCCTTGTTCCGTTGAGTTCAAGATATCAAGGTTCAACTATATTATACCATTTCACTATTATACTTGTACTGATGAGTAAAACTTGATTGTGTAAACGTAGAGGCTCATCGACTTCAAGATATCAAGGTTCGACTATATTATACCATTCTCCATTATACCTATACTGATGAGTTATACTTTGATTGTGTAAATGTTCAGGTTCAACTTTCCTCTGTTCACTCATTTACAATTTTTTTTAAACACTCATGATTTTCGAAAAGAAATCTTAAAATATAATGACACAAATATTCAGCATTCATTGTGGCAAAACATTTGAAGGAAATGGCCTTTTAACAACCAATGGTTTTCCAAAAGAAAACCTATAAAATATGATTACAAAATTTACACACAAAATTTCAATTTACACACAAATTTAAAAATTAACCAGAAATCTTTAGAAAGATATCTTATTGATTTATCCCAGGAAGAGTTATATCTCTTATCAAAGGGTTATTTTCAAACTAATCATGTATAATTTTTTTTTTCTCATCTTTGTCTTGACCTTTTTCACATGTAGAGGGTATAAATATTCTTTCTCTGTTAACTTTTAAAATCCTTATTGAATTTATTCAACAAAATATGCTTTGACAATAAAAAAAATTCCCTACAGGCTAGCTCCAGAGTTTATGGTAGCCGAACAACCTTTATAATCAAACACATAAAACTGATTTAACTACTTTAATATAAAAAATAATTGTAAATTTCAAAAAAAAAAAATAAATAAATTTAGCACCTTTTTTCATTTTTTTTTTACTCATTACAAAAGACAAATTCTTAACCAAATTGACATTGTTATTGAATTTGACAGAACTATATTGTATTTCAGCATAGATAAAATTAAAAATGTATTCAAGAGTGGTGCCCTTTTTGTAGAACTCTTTTAGCACCTTCAGTCTTAGAGGCCCTTAATCTGAAGGATACTGATAATTGTAGTTGAGGGTAGTTTACTAGTCTGACCACTTTTGTCATAACAGCATCAGGCCTCTGTCTTTGTCTTCTCTCGGTCCCTTGTTTGGGACTCGAGGGAATGTAAGTCCATCACCACACGGTGTATGGGTGGAAGGGAAAAGAACATTCTTCAAAAATGTCCTACAACAACATAACAATTACAGATTGCTAATGTCCTAATACATATCAACACAACTGGAGATCTTGAACTGAAGTAAAGACATTGTTACATCATTGATTAAAGTAACAATGTTACAATGTACAAGTACAGGTGTGAGCTGCATTGCTTCCTAAAGTAGAATATACTTTACCTCCCCTTTCCAAGTCCAAAAAATATCTGCCAGTTTTTGAAAAATCCATAATGGTAAGGGTTGGTATACACCTGTATCAAGGAAACAAAAGTAAGAAATTAAACTGTACCCAAATACAGTTTAGATTTTTTTATTGAACAATTCCTACAGTTAAACTTTCAACTGGTATCTTGAACACTGATATCTCAAACACCATGGATATGTTGAAGTGATTTGGTTATTCTTTAAGTATTTTACTATTCAACTATTTTACTCTTGATCTCTACAACACTTGGATATCTCTGTTTTTTTCTTGGTCCTATTGAGTTGGAGCTAAGGCAGTTTGACTGTATTTTTACTACTGTATGTGTACTTAAAAAAAGCTGTCTTCATATTTTAGCAGCTTAGGTGCAGGCAACAGTGCGCTAATTCCTGATTTCTGTTAATAAATGAATACAACAGCAAGCTTTGTCATTTCGTACTCCTGTGTCCGACTGTGATCACTATCCAGTCTGCCATTATTTAACATTCAAAATCGCGAGCCCGATTCAAGTGTGGCCGATATTCACCATGATACATGTGCGAGATTTTATATAATACCGGTATTTAATTTGTTTTAAATCCAACTTCAATAAATGAAGTTTATTATTCATAAAGCAAATCAGCCTATAATTTACCTTGATAATGTAGTATTGACGAAAGCACTTATTAAGCATAGTTGAATCATAATTTACCCTTCTTAAAAAAAAAGATTTTTAAAAAATGGAATCCTAGATTCACTTCAAAAATCTATTATTATTACTGTTTGCATTCATAATGTGGCTTGATTGTCATGTAAATTTCACTAATAAAAGACAACTGATACATATATATTATTATAACAGTAACTTGATCCGAAGAGCCGTATCACGTCGAGTTGACAGGCGCAGATCATCAGATCAAACGAGACGCAAAGCGTCGAGTTTGATCTGATGATCCGCGCCTGTCAACTCGACGTGATACGGCTCTTCGGATCAAGTTAGTTATAATGATAAATTTATTATATACCCCTTTACAACTAGCAAAATATAATAAAAGGAAACTTTTTGGATCAATTACATACCTTTTATCCATTAAACAAACCATTTTGTCGAGGAACTTTTTGATGCGCGAGAATAAAAACGTCATTTATCTGTGTACTACGTCATCAGTTTCAGAGAGGGGTGATATGGATTCAGAAAACCACAGTGTGGTGATCCGGAACGTCGGATCACACCATCACGTGATTGCATGAATTCAACAGTAAAAGTGAGTGAAAACATTTGGGTATATAATAAAATTAGTTAAGCGGCTCTACTGCACACAACACCTTTGAACTATGTCCATGAACAATTACGTAAACTTCTGTTGTAAACTTACTTAGCTGAATGGCACTTTGGTGGGTAATAACGAGATTTTTTTGTTGGTGTAATTGCTTTAATTAAGGTCGTTATAAATGACTATCGACTTCAACCTACCCTAAGGCTAATTTCTGCCAGGTGGACAAGTTTATTTAACACTGATAATTATACCTAAGTGCTTAAAATATTTGTTTCAACAATTAAAAAAAAATAAAATAAAATAGGATTCTACTTATTTTTAATTTTAGCAGAACATCAGTAGCCCTAATTCATGATTGCGCCAACCACTCCATACATGTACCCGGTGACTGCGCTTAATTTTGAATACGTCAATTTAAGTACACATACAGTATTTTATTCCTTTTTCTTTTATCTTACCAGTCTCATTCAATTTTATTCAGTCATCAGTGAGAAAGTAAATTAGGCATTAGTATGTATTATGCCAAAGTTACTTTATATTGATCAGATTTAGTTACAACTACTCCTTGTGTAACATTCCTATCCTATTTACTTCCTGTGTAACATTTCTACCCTATAATTACTTCCTGGTTAATATCCCTATCCTATAATCTTCCTGTGTAACATTCCTATCAGATAATTACTTCCTGTGTAACAATCCTATCCTATATTTACTCTCTGTTAATCCTTACCAGTCCTAACTTTTTCAGCCTGCTGACTTCCTTCCTGTTGATGTACACTTCTATATTTGTCTCCCCCAGACTGATCATTCTGACGTGCCAACACACCAATAGTAAGAGAGCAATCACCACGGCAGAGCAGAGAACAAACTCATATACCACAGCCGTGTGGTAATGCTGATTCCTCATGTCAACTTCTAGATCCACCCCTGGCTGGTGCTGACCTCCGTGATTCTTGTTGAAAGAGGAGTTAACTGGTACAGCTGCTATACCTCCCAGGAATGGTTTCTGTGGATACCAAAAAAAATACTCGTTTTTAATCAAAAGTTGTTCATAATGGTAAAAAGAGGGATGATGCATAAAGTTGTAAGACATGCATCATGACACAGCAAAGCTGATTTTGAAATATTTATCTTATATGTTAAGCTGTGTGCATCTTTTTATTGTTATTGCATTCAACATACTATACTTATCTTGAAAATATTTTCTACAGAGTGTGAATTAAAGGATCTTTTTTTCTTATTATTACTGGGGAGAGGGATGTTGTTTTCTACTCACATTATGGTCTCCATACATAATGTCATAAGCCATATTGAGTGGATACAGAACAGCAGGGAAGGGATAATACTGAAACAAATAAAACAAAAAGACAATCTAACAGAATTGTACAAAATTGTTGGCATTACCGATCTATAGATAATAATTTGTCTGTCTGCACTTTTGCAGCAATGTATTGTAGTAATTTTCCAAAACCATTACCTTGTCACCATAAAAATGCTGTTTGAACAAGTCGACTCCTGTCACACAGACATAAATGGTCCCTGACAACATAAAAATACAAAACTGGAAGAAGTAGCGATGGTTGTAGAACCCGACACAATTGTTTATCCAAGCTTTCAGGTTGTTAGGGATAACATGGTGTATATTTTAAGATTTGAGCTACTTTTGTAAAATCCCACACATGTAAAAAGGTGTTTTGAAAAAAAAAATTTAGAATCAAGACTATACGGTAAACCAACAACAATCTGCAATAATTGTTATTCCTGATTTGTCAGTCTGAAATCCATTCTGAAACTACTAATTTTCATGACTGAAGAAATAATCTTCATAAATACACAAAAATAAATGATTTGCAGCAAAAATTGCAAGCAAAGGATGGTCTGGAAAACTCCTGTATAACTCTCAAATGTAAATTAAAGTTGGTTTACAGTATTTCATGCATTTTTATATAGTATTCAATCACTGCTCGTTTCATACTAATTTGATTTGACACTACATTCAATTAAGTTTGTTCAGATGGAAGTTAATCTATGAAATGTAGAATTTTTTTTTATATATATATCTGGCTTGTTACCAATCAAACTGACTGTGCACCTTAAGAGTAATGAAATCAGATTATTTTTCTGCATATGAAAAGATACGGCAATGGTGGTCCATTTTTAGTACACACTTGTCACAAATACTGCAGTGATGGGCTCGTGGAGGCTTTGGGGATATACACTTCTTACATATAGAAACCGTTTCTGGAATCTCCTAAAAAAGAAAAGACTTAAATTATTTTTCATTTGGAAATGTCTCTCTATTTTAAATTTTAAATAGTTTCATGTTATAGATTATTTCTTGTAAAGATACAGCTGAACTTTGGTATCTCAAACACTTATATCTCGATTTTCTAAGTACAACGGATATGTAGAAGTGACTTGGAAGTCCCAAACACTTATTAGGTCTTTCCACCTTTCTGTGGAAAGACCTATTGATTTTCTTCTGTTTATTATTATTATTCTTCTTCTTCTTCTTATTAGGTCTTTCCACCTTTCTGTGGAAAGACCTATTGATTTTCTTCTGTTTATTATTATTATTATTATTATTAGGTCTTTCCACCTTTCTGTGGAAAGACCTATTGATATTCTTCTGTTTATTATTATTATTATTATTATTATTATTATTAGGTCTTTCCACCTTTCTGTGGAAAGACCTCTTGAAATGCTTATGTTTATTATTATTATTATTATTCTTCTTCTTTTTCTTCCCGGACTTTTGAAACCGCAAGACTTATCAAAAAACTTTATAGTTCATAATACTGGATATCAAAAGTTATTCCGAAAAACGACCCCCCGTGTTTGACCTATGACCTCTTACAAAGTTATTGCCCCTTTCGCAAGAATAGCTTGTTATCGCTACTCCTTTGAAACCGTAAACCGTAGAGGTACGGAACCTTCACCAATGTCTTCGACTAATTGAGGGGACTCTTCAATCTTTTCATTGCGAAAGTATTTGTCAACCCCTTTTATGAGTTATTGCCCCTGAAAGTTTATGAAACTTACGAATAATTAAAAATTTTCAAAACGATAAGTCGTAGAGACATGGGACCAACTGCATAAGATTCATTGACCTTTGACCTTAAAATATATGCAAAGGTCAAAGGTCAAGGTCATTCAAAATATGAGAAATTAAGCTCTTTTTATATCTCTTTTGTCTTTCAACATATCCTAAATATCTTTGCATCATTAATATGTCCTCTTAAAACTATTTCAAAGATTTCATACTTGTCCCCTAAGATTTACCCCTTTAAAAGTTATTGCCCCTTTTCCTGAAAACCTTGTTATCGCTACTCCTCCGGAACCATAAACCGTAGAGACACAAAACCTTCACTAACGTCTTCAGGGTCTTTAGACACAACTTCAATCTATTCAGTGCGAAAGTATCCGATGACCCCTTATATGAGTTATCGCCCTTTAACGTCTTTGTGCTTACTATTAAACCTTATAACTTTAAAACTAAAAGTCATAGAAGCATGGGGTCAAGTGCAATGTGACCCCTAACCTTTGACCTTGAAAATTTTCAAGGTCAAAGGTCAAGGTCATTTCAAAATTTTTAAAATTTTCATTTTTTCTATCTTTCAAGCCATTTATGGATTCTTTTTGCATAAAAATTAACTTTAGAGAGTTAAATATGAAGAATATATGAAATTTAAAGAAGGTGGAAAGACCTCTAATTGTTCGAGAACAATTAGTCTACTAGTTATTATTATTTTTCCACCCCCTGATGTGATTCTATGTTTCAAAATATATCGAAAAGATTTATAGTCTATAAGAATGTACTCTTTAAAAGGTTGTTACAGTTGACCCTGCGTATATGAACTTTGACCCCTCTAAGAGTTATTACCCCTTTTGCAATAAAAGCTTGTTATCGCTACTCCTTCGAAACCGTAAACCGTAGAGGTACGAAACCTTCACCAATGTCTTCGACTAATTGAGGAGACTCTTCAATCTTTTCATTGCGAAAGTATTCGTGGACCCCTTTTATGAGTAATTGCCCCTGAAAGTTTTTGAAGTTTACAAATAATAATTTTTTTTCAAAACGATAAGTCGTAGAGACATGAAACCAACTGGATAAGATTCTTTGACCTCAGACCTTGAAATTTATGTCAAGGTCAAAGGTCAAGGTCATTCAAAATATGAGAAATTAAGCTCTAATTATATCTCTTTTGTCTTTCAATTTATACTAAGTATCTTTGCATCATTAATATGTCCTCTTAAAACTATTTCAAGTATTTCATACTTGTCCCCTAAGATTTACCCCTTTAAAAGTTATTGCCCCTTTTACTGAAAACCTTGTTATCGCTACTCCGCCTAAACCGTAAACCGTAGAGACACAAAACCTTCACCAACGTCTTCAGGATCTTTAGACACAACTTCAGTCTATCAGTGCAAAAGTATCCGATGACCCCTTATATGAGTTATAGCCCTTTAACGTCTTTGCGCTTACTATTAAACCTTATAACTTTAAAACTAAAAGTCATAGAAGCATAGGGTCAAGTGCAATGTGACCCTTGTCCTTTGACCTTGAATATTTGTTCAAGGTCAAAGGTCAAGGTCATTTCAAAATTTTTAAATTTTCATTTTTTCTATCTTTCAAGCCATTTATGGATTCTTTTTCTATAAAAATTAACTTCAGAGAGTAAAATATGAAAAATATATGAAATTTAAAGAAGGTGGAAAGACCTCTAATTGTTCGAGAACAATTAGTCTACTAGTTATTATTATTATTATTTTTCCACCCCCTGATGTGATTCTATGTTTCAAGATATATCGAAAAGATTTATAGTCTATAAGAATGTACTCTTTAAAAGATTTTTACAGTTGACCCTGCGTATATGAACTTTGACCCCTCTAAGAGTTATTACCCCTTTTGCAATAAAAGCTTGTTATCGCTACTCCTTCGAAACCGTAAACCGTAGAGGTACGAAACCTTCACCAATGTCTTCGACTAATTGAGGAGACTCTTCAATCTTTTCATTGCAAAAGTACTCGTGGAGCCCTTTTATGAGTTATTGCCCCTGAAAGTTTTTGAAGTTTACAAATAATAATTTTTTTTCAAAACGATAAGTCGTAGAGACATGAAACCAACTGGATAAGATTCTTTGACCTCAGACCTTGAAATTTATGTCAAGGTCAAAGGTCAAGGTCATTCAAAAAATAAGAAATTAAGCTCTTTTTATATCTCTTTTGTCTTTCAATGTATACTAAGTATCTTTGTACCATTAATATGTCCTCTTAAAACTATTTCAAATATTTCATGCTTGTCCCCTAAGATTTACCCCTTTAAGAGTTATTGCCCCTTTTACTGAAAACCTTGTTATCGCTACTCCTCCGAAACTGTAAACCGTAGAGAAACAAAACCTTCACCAATGTCTTCAGGGTCTTTAGACACAACTTCAATCTATTCAGTGCAAAAGTATCCGATGACCCCTTATATGAGTTATCGCCCTTTAACGTCTTTGCGCTTACTATTAAACCTCATAACTTTAAAAGTAAAAGACATAGAAGCATGGGGTCAAGTGCAATGTGACCCCTGACCTTTGACCTTGAATATTTGTTCAAGGTCAAAGGTCAAGGTCATTTCAAAATTTTAAAATTTTCATCTTTTCTATCTTTCAAGCCATTTATGGATTCTTTTTCTATAAAAATTAACTTTAGAGAGTAAAATATGAAAAATATATGAAATTTAAAGAAGGTGGAAAGACCTCTAATTGTTCGAGAACAATTAGTCTACTAGTTATTATTATTCTTCTTCCGCTGATTTTTTGTTTCGATGTTTATCGAAAAGATTATTCGTTGACCGTAAAGGTCATAAAAAGTTAGGAACAAATTTGACCCAAAGCGTATAACCTATGACCCCTTTCGCAGTTATTGCCCCTTTTGATAGAAACCTTGTTATCGCTACTCCTCCGAAACCATAAACCGTAGAGGTATGGAACCTTCACAAATGACTTCGACTAATTGAGGGGACTCTTCAATCTTTTCATTGCGAAAGTATTCGTCAACCCCTTTTATGAGTTATTGCCCCTGAAAGTTTTTGATGTTTACAAATAATTAAAAATTTTCAAAACAATAAGTTATAGAGACATGGGATCAACTGAATAAGATTCAATGACCTTTGACCATATAATATATGCAAAGGTCAAAGGTCAAGGTCATTCAAAATATAAGAAATTAAGCTCTTTTTATATCTCTTTTGTCTTTCAACATATACTAAATATCTTTGCATCATTAATATGTTCTCTTAAAACTATTTCAAAGATTTCGTACTTGTCCCCTAAGATTTACCCCTTTAAAAGTTATTGCCCCTTTTATTGAAAACCTTGTTATCGCTACTTCTCCGAAACAGTAAACCGTAGAGACACAAAACCTTCACTAATGTCTTCAGGGTCTTTAGACACAACTTCAATCTATTCAGTGCGAAAGTATCCATTGACCCCTTATATGAGTTATTGCCCTTTAATGTATTTGCGCTTACTATTAAACCTTATAACTTCAAAACTAAAAGGCATAGAAGCATGGGGTCAAGTGCAATGTGACCCTTGACCTTTGACGTTGAAAATTTGTTCAAGGTCAAAGGTCAAGGTCATTTCAAATTTGTTAAATTTTTCATTTTTTCTATCTTTCAAGCCATTTATGGATTCTTTTGGTATAAAAATTAACTTTATAGAGTAAAATGTGAAAAATATATGAAATTTAAAGAAGGTGGAAAGACCTCTAATTGTTCGAGAACAATTAGTTTACTAGTTATTAGGTCTTTCCACCTTTCTGTGGAAAGACCTATTGATATTCTTCTGTTTCTTATTTTTTATTATTTTTCCGCCGTGTGATTTTGAGTTTCAAGATATATCGAAAAGATTTATAGTCCATAAGAGTGTACTCCGTAAAAGATTTTTGCAGTTGACCCTGTGTATATGAACTTTGACCCCTCAAAGAGTTATTGCCCCTTTCGCAATATAAGCTTGTTATCGCTACTCCTCCGAAACCGTAAACCGTAGAGGTACGAAACCTTCACCAATGTATTCGACTAATTGAGGGGACTTTTCAATCTTTTCATTGCGAAAGTATTTGTCAACCCCTTTTATGAGTTATTGCCCCTGAAAGTTTTTGATGTTTACAAATAATTAAAAATTTTCAAAACAATAAGTCGTAGAGACATGGGACCAACTACATAAGATTCATTGACCTTTGACCTTAAAATATATGCAAAGG